AAAAAAAAAAAAAAAAAAAAGGCACAGTGGCCCATGCCTGTGTTCCCAGCTACTTGGGAGACTGAAGTAGGAGAATTGCTTGAGACCAGCCTGGACAACATAGTGAGACCCCATTTCTAGAAAAAAAAAATAGCCAGGCATGGTGGCATGTGCCTGTATTCCTAGCTACTCGAGAGGCTGAGGCAGGAGCATCACTTGAGTCCAGAAGGTTGAGGCTGTAGTGAGCTGATTGTGCCACTGCACTCCATCCAGCCTGGGTGACAGAGCAAGGCCCTGTCTTGAAAATAAACAAAAGACAGTGGTTAATAGATTTTTTTAAAAAAGACCCAGTCTAGGTCAGGTACAGTAGCTCATGCCTGTAATCCCAGCACTTTGGGGGGCCGAGGCGGGTGAATCACCTGAGGTTGGGAGTTTGAGACCAGCCTCACCAACATGGAAAAACCCCGTCTCTACTAAAGATACAAAAAATTAGCCGGGCGTGGTGGTGGGTGCCTGTAGTCCCAGATACTCAGGAGGCTGAGGCAGGAGAATAGTGTGAACCCGGGAGGCGGAGGTTGCAGTGAGCCGAGATCATGCCACTGCACTCCAGCCTGGGTGACAGAGTGAGACTGTTTCAAAAAGAGAAACAAAAATAGGTAGGAGTACACTCTAACCATAAAAAGCATAGTCTAGTAAATACATAAATCAGTAACATAGTCATTTATTATCATTACAAAGTATTATGTACTGTACACAATTGTATATGCTATACTTTTATGCAACTGGCAGTGCAGGTTTGTTTACACCAGTATCAAAACAAATACCCAAGTAGTCCTTGAGCTATGAACTTATGATGGCTATGATGTTAGTAGGCCATAGGAGTTTTTTTCTTTTTCGAGACCAGTTCTCTCACCCAGGCTGATGTGTAGTGACGTGGTCATAGCTTACTTTAACCTCAAACTCCTGAGCTCAGATGAACCTTCCTCAAACTCCTGGGCTCAAGTGATCCTCCCGCCTCAGCTTCCCAGGTAGTTGGGACTATAGGCAGGCACCAACATGCCTGGCTAATTAAAAAAAAACAAAAACTGTTGTAGAGACAGGATCTCATTATGCTGCCTAGGTTGGTCTTGAACTCCTGGCCTCAAGCAGTCCTCTCATCTCCTCCTCCCGTGGCAAGATGCTGGGATTACAGGTGTGAGCCATTGCACCCAGCCTGCAATAGGAATTTTTCAGCTCCCTTGTAATCTTAAGGGACCACTGTTAAATATGCAGTCCATCATTGACCTCAGTGTTGTTATGTGGCACATGACAGTATGCACAAGGGAATATCATTCAATCTTAAGGAAATTCTGTTTTTTGTGACCTGGATAGGCCTGGAGGACATTATGTTCAGTGAAATAAGCCAGGAACAGAAAAACAGATACCACATGGTCTCACATCTATGTAGAATCTGAAAAAGTGAACTGATAAAAGTTCAATTTCCGGGTGGAGAGTAGAATGGTGGTTATCAGAGACTTGGGTGGGTGGGGATTACTGGGGAAATGTTGGTCAAAGGATACAAAATTTCAGTTGGGAGGAATAATTTCAAGAAATCTTTTGTACAACATGGTGACTATAGTAAATAACAGTGTATTCTTGAAAAATACTAAGAGTATATTTTAAGTGGTCTCACCACAAAAAAATAGTATGTGAGGCAATGTGTATGATAATTAGCTCGATTTAGCCATTCCACAATGTATAGTAGCCCCCTTTTATCTGGTCTCAAATTCCTGAGCTCTAGCAATCTGCCCTCATTGGCCTCCCAAAGTGCTAAGGTTACAGGCAAGAGCTACTGCACCTGGCCTACTTAACATGTTTTGACACGTTTTGGCACAGAGTTGTTGATGGTATCCTCATTATTATTTTCTTGCTTTCTTTCCCCTTCCCTCCCTCCCTCTCTCTTTCTCTCTCTCTTTCCTTTCCTTTCCTTTTCTTTCTTTTTACAGTAAAGTGAACGCAAGTTTATTAGGAAAGTAAATAAACAAAAGAATGGTTACCCCATAGGTTGAGCAGTCCTGAGGTTATTTCTTGATTATATGCTAAGCAAGGAGTGGATTATTAATGAATTTTCTGGGAAAGGGGTGGGCAGTTCCCAGAACTGAGGATTCCTCCCCTTTTTAGACTATATGGGGTAACTTCTGGATATTACCATGGCATCTGTAAACTGTCATGGTGCTGGTTAGAGTGTCTTTTAGCATGCTGATACATTATAATTGGCATATAATGAGCAGTGAGGAAAACCAGAGGTCTACTCTTGTTGCCATCTTGGTTTTGGTGGGTTTTGGCTAGCTTTTTTTACTGCAAACTGTTTTATCAGCATAGTCTTTATGGCCTGTATCTTATGTTGAACTCCCATCTCATCCTGTGACTTAGAATGCTTAACCTACTGGGAATGCAGCCTAACAGGTCTCTCAGCCTTATTTTACTCAGCCCCTATTCAAGATGGAGTCACTCTGGTTTAAACACCTCTGACGTTCCCCCCCCTCGTTTATAAGAGAATCCTTCATCCTAAGGGTTGTAGAGGGACGAAGATCTACCTTTTGTAACTTCTTCTTGCTGAATGGGGTGATGATATTTCTGCCTAATTATTAAGGTCTCTTGTATCCGTGGTAGAGAGGCGCTCATTCAGAATGCATCAGTTTGCTGAGGACCATCCATAACTGAGTTCTGACAAAACATGATATCTGAAAGATTAATGAGTGTTTAATAAAACATTTAGTAAGCTTATCCTGCATTCCTCTATAAAGAGTACAACAGCAATATATTCCATAACAGTAAAGCAAAATAAGTAAAACTGTCCCAAGTAAACTAAATTAGAAGACTTTCCATGAACTGGCAACTGTCGGAACCACACTGATACGGAATCACTGATTCCATTATGTGCCCAGAATTAGAATATTGATCCAGATTTTTACATTATCCATCCCTCTTTTTTTTTCTGCACTTCAGTCAGAGATCACTGATTGGTTCACAGGAGAAAGCAAGGTCAGCCTAAATTGCAGGAAAAAAACTCAAAAACAACTGATGAGACCAGAATCTACTGATGGGTGTACCATAGTTCTCAAAAAACAATTTTTTTCTCTCTCCAATGTCCCATTTTTACTAAAGACAAATTATAGTATGACCGATTTGCTTTGTTATACTTGGCCAGATTATCTGTATAAAGTGCAGCAAGAATAATTATTTTTCACATAGGCTTTTGAAATTGGCTTTGATGGAACTCTGTCCCATAAGGAATCTCAGATAAGACTTTTAAAGCTGCGCCCAGTATGGATTTTTTTTTTTTTTTTTTTTTTTTTTTTTTTTCTTTGTGAGACAGAGTCTCACTCTGTTGCCCAGGCTGGAGTGCACTGGCATGACCTCGGCTCACTGCAGCCTCCACCTCCGGAGTTCAAGTGATTCTCCTGCCTCAGCTTCCTGTGTAGTTGGGATTACAGGCGTGCACCACCACGCCTGGCTTCAGACTTCCAAGTAGCTGGGACTACAGCAGCACATCACCACACCTGGCTAACTTTTTAGCTTTTGGTAGAGATGGGGTTTCACCATGTTTTCCAGGCTACCCTTGACTTCGGTGTCTAAAACGATCCTCTCACCTTGACTCCCAAAATGTTGGGATTACAAGTGTGAGCTACTGTGCCCAGCTAGTTGTCTTTTAAATGGCTCATATCCTAGAATAATACTAGCCCCTCTTAAGGTTTTTGGTTCATAGTGGCAATCTCAAACTTGGCTTCCCTCCTCTTTGACTATTTGAAGCAATAGTGTCTTCACAGTACTGTTGATTTAATAATCTAAGTCACTTGGGATTTAAATGGAATTATTCTGACGTTTTGGGGTGCCATCTTCAGACTATAGTATGTAATGAATAGTAAATAAAAAATTATGTAGTATAGGAGTGTTTATGGGCTGGGCACGGTGGCTCACGCCTGTAATCCCAACACTTTTGGAGGCTGAGGCGGGCAGATCACCTGAGGTCGGGAGTTTGAGACCAGCCTGACCAACATGGAGAAACCCTGTCTCTATTAAACAAATACAAAATTATCTGGTCGTGGTGGCGCATGCCTGTAATCCCAACTACTCAGGAGGCTGAGGCGGGAGAATCACTTGAACCTGGGAGGTGGAGGTTATGATGAGCCAAGATCACACCATTGCACTCCAGTTTGGGCAACAAGAGCAAAACTCTGTCTCAAAAAAAAAAAAAAAAAAAAAAAGTTTATGTTTTTATCATGAAATTGTTTCCTTCTTATTTAATGGGTTAACTTAAACAATTCTTTAAAACATTTTGTTTTAGTCCCAGAAATCCTGGATAGAAAGCACTTTGACCAAGAGGGAATGTGTATATATTATACCAAGTTCCAAGGACCCTCACAGGTAAGCACACCTTTGTTGCTTCTGGGATCTTCTAGAAATTTTAGTGTAAATTATATTGCTATTTCTTTTTTGGAAACAAAAACTACTAAATACATTATTTGTAGTTACTGTTACTTTTTATAGTTACTGCTAATCATTTAATTTGGGAAGGATTGGGAGGAAGAAACAGCATTGAAAATCAGTATTTTGGAGTTCTTAATGCCATTTACAGCATACAATCTCTTCCTTGAAGTGTTCCTCCATCTGTAAACTCCCTCAGATCATAGTGTAGTGTTTTACAAAGGTAAGGCAGTTAAGACTCTCTCTCTCTTTTTTATTTTTTTTAACAGATTCACTGATACTTCAAACTTAAATTTGTGTATTTATTGAGCATCTACTGAGTATCCAACACTATGGTTCATGTTGAAGAAAGCAATATGAACCTAATAGTCATTCTTTTTATTTGCCAATATATGGATACAGATCATTATTTACTGGAAAATCCATTGTCAGAGACTATAGGTGTCTGTGTCTTTGGTCTCTGAAATGACTTTGATAATAGAAAAAAAATAAAATTAAAGGATATTAACTTAGTAACTAAAGAAAAAGTTGAGCTCATGAAATATTTACTTAAGCATATTTGCCAAAAATATTCTTTTAACTTTTTTTTTTTTTTTTTGAAACAGAGTCTTGCTCTGTCGCCCAGGCTGGAGTGCAGTGGTGTGATATCAGCTCGCTGTAACCTCCGCCTTCTGGGTTCAAGTGATTCTCCTGCCTCAGTCTCCTGAGTAGCTGGGATTACAGGCGTGCACCACCACACCTGGCTAGTTTTTTGTTTGTTTGTTTGTCTTGAGACGTAGTCTTGCTCTGTTGCCCACGCTGGAGTGCAATGGCGCAATCTCGGCTCACTGCAACCTCTGCTTTCCAGGTTCAAGCGATTCTCTTGCCTCAGCCTTCCGAGTAGCTGGGACTACAGGCGTATGCCACCACACCTGGCTAATTTTTTGTATTTTTAGTAAATACTAGGTTTCACCGTGTTAGCCAGGATGGTCTCAATCTCCTGACCTCGTGATCCGCCCGCCTCGGCCTCCCAAAGTGCTGGGATTACAGGCGTGAGCCACCACGCCCGGCCCTAGTTTTTGTATTTTTAGTATACAGGGTTTTACTATGTTGGCCAGTCTGATCTTGAACTCCCGACCTGAGGTCATCCACCTCTCTTGGCCTCTCAGAGTTCTGGGATTACAGGTGTGAGCCACCGCACTCAGCAAATTTTTTTTTTTTTTTCTGAGGCCTAAAGATAGAAAAAAACTTAAACAAGGAAATATAAGATGTAGTTATTTCCTAACCTATGGAGCACTTCTCTTCATGGGCACTTAGAAAAAATGAAAATTAATTGACAAAAGTATTTGCAAGATTTTTGAATCTTCTTTCCTTTTCTATCTCCTATCACACTGTGTTCTCTACCCATTTGCCTTCTGTGCAACTTTCATTTCTATTAGATATATAACTCTTAGAAAGACATAGCTTAAATAGACAATTTTTATTAACTGATGTCCCTTTATATTATAGAATATGTCACTGTTCTTGTTTATAGTGGGTACGTAGTAAATATTTGTCGAATAGCATTTCCAAAACCTTTCGTTAAATTATATAAATGTAAATTTACATAATTTAATTTTTAAAATTTCTCTTTAACATTTTAAAAAATTCTAACTTTGAATCTTTCCCAACACACGCATTTCCATTGAAAGTGTAATGTGCATGATACATTTTAAAAACTTTTGAGAAACAGAAAGTTGGATCAATAGTTAGAGTTTTAATACATTAAGATTGTCATTATTAATAACATTTGGTGGTTTTATTTTTGGCTTTTTCTCAGTGTATTGTTTTTGTTTTAAAGTATTGCTACATTCAGTCTATATGCAAAATGTTGTACCTGCTTTTCATACTACGGATATTTTATAAGAATGGTAGTAATAGTCCTGGTGCAGTGGCTCACGCCTGTAATCCCAGCACTTTGGGAGGCCGAGGTGGGCGGATCACGAGGTCAGGAGTTCGAGACCAGCCTAGCCAACGTGGTGAAACACCTTCTCTGCTAAAAATACAAAATTAGCCAGACGTGGTTGCGGGCACCTGTCATCCCAGCTACTTGGGAGGCTAAGGCAGGAGAATCACTTGACACTGGGAGGCAGAGGTTGTAGTGAGCTGATATCCACGTTGCTGCACTCCAGCCTGGGTAACAAGAGTGAAACTCCATCTCAAAAAAAAAAAAAAAAAAAAAGAATTGTAGTTAATATTCTGTTATTGTGTATACCACCATTTATATGCCTATTCTCCTATTGGTCAATTTAGTTTTTTTCAATTTTTAGCCATTTTAAATTTAAATTAGGCCACAATGAAGATCTTTGTGGATAAAACCTTTTTGTATTTAAGATTTTCCCCCCTTAGGTTATGTAATGCCAAAATCTTTTCAAAAGTATTAAAGCAATATAAATGATCACCCAGTAGTGAATGAGATTGTCTGCTTTACTAAGTAGTGACTAGAGTAACATTTTCCATCACCGTCAAGAAAACGTGGTAAGTATAAAAAGGTATACATAGGTATATATATATATATTTTTTTAAGCTGAGCGTGGTGGCTCATGCCTATAATTCCAGCACTTTGGGAGACTGAGGCGAGCAAAGTCTGCCTTCCAGGTTCAAGTGATTCTCCTGCCTCAGCCACCTGAGTAGCTGGGACTATAGGCATGTGCCACCACGACCAGCTAATTTTTTTTATTTTTAGTATAGATGGGGTTTCACCGTGTTGGTCAGGCTGGTCTCGAACTGCTGACCTCAGATAATCTGCCTGCCTCAGCCTCCCAAAGTGAGCCACCGCACCTGGCATACATTTATTTATTTTTAATTGACAGTAATTATAATAGTATATATTTTAAATTTGCATTTATTTACTATTGAGAAAATATTTTAAGTTTTTTAAATATCTCT